GCCAGGGGAGGTTTAGATTGGACGTGAGGAAAAATTTCTTTACTGAAAGAGTGGTTAAACATTGGACCAGTCTGCCCAGGGAAGTGGTTGAGTCACCATCCCTGGAAGTATTTAAAAGACGGGTAGATGAGGCGCTTAGGGACATGGTTTAGTGGGCATGGTGGTGTTGGGTTGATGGTTGGACTCGATGATCTTGGAGGTCTCTTCCAACCTTAATGATTCTACGATTCTAAGATTTCTCAGATAGGAGGTAAATTTTTATTTCTCTTACCATCTTCATATAAATCCAGGAGTTGTGCCACAAAAGGTTGATCTGCATTCTCCCCTTCTACCAAAATAAACTCACCCAGTTGTATACAGGTTTCTGTTCTGCTTCTTTCTGATTTAATAAGGATTCCCCTAGAAAGTGATGCACACATGCAGATTAGCAGGATTTCATACTCTTTATAACTCACATATCATTAAAGCTGATGGCCTGTCAATCTTACAGCTAGTTATGCTTCCTCTTGCAAAGCCTACAATTGAGTTTCCTGATTAAAAGCTTTCATATATATTTCAAATAGACAGTTAACACTTATTCACAGATTTAAATGTTTTTGTTTATACATTATACAATTTATAATTCAAGAGCTTTGTAACAACATTTTCATTATACACATACAGTGTTATGACACAACGCTCAAAACCTTACTCATATTCTCACTGACTGCCACATTAACCTAAACGATGTCAGAAAGGTAAAGAAACCTTCATTGATTAAGTTTCCCTGCGCAAGCCAGAAATAAATATTATTACCTGTACTGGAAAGTCCTCAGTTTTCTGTCTGAGCTCATGGGTTTTCCAAACCAGGAGTAGGTAATTTTGCTTTGCTGCCAGGTGTTCATTGTTCCCAAGGAAAAGCTAAAACAAATAAACAAACGATTTTTTAAATTATTATTTAAAAATAAAAACAGGGAAAGGCTCCAGATGGCCAGATACATAGAAATGCCATCAATTCTTTCAGTGCGTACGAGCAATGTGGTATGCATTGGTTGGTTCAGAGAAGCCTACCTTCCCCAAAGCCTGCAGACGCCTCTCCGCTAAGGGAAGAGGGAAAAGAGAAGGTGTTTAGTAGTGGATTGTTCTTCAACTCCTTTTTTTCACGTCCAGCGCTTGACTAACACACCTGGCAAACATGCGATTCCCTTGTTACTGGCTACTTTGCTTTTTCACAGAGCAGATTAGGAGCTATTCTCTGCTTAAAGTTACCAAGTCCTCTCGCTCGCCCTGGCTCCGGGAGCTCGCCGACCACCCGCCGCGGTGGCCGGCGCGTACCGCCAGCCGTTTTAAGACTATGCCTTGTTGGTTTTCGTCCAGACCTCACAGCGACCAGGCGAACGAGACCGTCACGAACGTTTCGCTTACGGTCAGTTTTTACGTTTGGGGATTTTTTTGTTTGGTCCCGTCCCGTCCCGTCCCCCCCCAAATAAGAATTTTCCCTCTGGAAACAGGCCTCAGGGCTTAGGAAAATGCCACACCACCCCCCCCCTCCCCAGTGCTGTTCTCCCACTTGCCCACCCCAACCTATCGGCTTAGACGAGGCAGGGCCCTGCCTCAGGGAGCACGCTCCCCGCCCCGGGCTGCTGCCCGGTTCCCAGGCGGCCTGCGGGGCCG